TAATTAATATATGGGCCAGGTTATATTAATTTGTCTGCAAACAACTCAATAATTAAGAATAAAATGGTATATCTGCTGTTTGTCACAATGATATTGGTATATTTTTCATAGCATCGATGCGAGACTCGATAAATCATCGTAAAAATTACGAAATACTTGGGGTGAATTTCTAACATTCGCAACATACTTAACGAATTTTGAATGTACAAAATGTTGTCTCCTATGGGAAACGTACTGTAGAAGTTGAAGAGTGTAAGAAGTGCTTGCTTTCACCTTATATTTTTTGTCTCTGTCTCGAATACGAGTTCGATTCAATCTTGGCTTGATTCCCCTAGAAATGTTCCACCCACTTTCTGCGCCTGGTTTGCTCGATTGTTGTTATTGTTGTTGCTTTATCGTTTCTTTTATTTGCCGCGCTTTTGATGGGCCATTTGTACGCCAGCCTCTTTGGCATATCTTTTATTTTTCTTTTCTTCTTTTTTTTGTTTTTTTTTTTCTTTTCTTTTATGCATAAATTTCATTTTCTGTTCTATGCTTATTGTTCATTTCTCTTGCATTTTGTATTTGGCGTTGCTTTTCTTTTTGCTTATTTAGCTACAAGCATGTGAGTGTGTATGTGTGTGAGTGTGTATGTGTGTGTGTGTTATTAATCTTCGTGGGAGTTATTGCTATTTTCTCATTGCTCTTGGAATTATTTGTAATTTTTTTTCCTTTTTTTTTTGTCAGCAGGATGCCACAGCAATTGGCGCCAAAGCTCCACCCCTCCCCACCCATGTTCAATGCCCCCGTGCACCGCAATGATTTGCGTTCATTTGTGTATGAAATTAAAATCACACCCATGAGATGCATTGGCCTTAGGGGGCGGGGTGCTGGCAGCTGGCTGCTGGATGCTGGATGGAGTGGAATGGAGAATGAACCTGCATTTGGCAGCCGATGAATACATATATATACACTGTATATATGTATGTAATTCTTTCATATTTTATTTGAAATCTCTTCTTGGTTTTGTTTTCTTTCCTGAAATGGTCACCCCGTGGGCAATGGAATTCCGCGCGTCCGGCAACTGTAAATTGAGTTGCTGCCCTTTCGACGAAACGGCCGACGTTCAGGCAAACTTTGGTCGTTGTCTAATTCATTCATGAAAACCGTTGAACAGCCTCCACCGCCTCGGTCAGCTCAACAACCCTCCCCCCAGTTCTCTTCCTGCAGCGCACAACATCTACTGCTCACTCGTCTTCTTCTGCTGCCTCAACTGCTGCTTAGCATACAATTGCCACATTAACTTGCCAGCCCCCCAAAGATAAATCGCGCAGCTAGCTGCGAAATTTTTGTTGCTGTCGCTGTTGCCGTTGCTGTAATTGTTGCTGCAGCTATTTCACACTAAGGCCCGCAGCGCAACACACACTAAAATTGAGACAAGTTTGGAGGAAATGCTTTTTTGCAAAGTGCATTTGACGCCTTGAGCCACAAGCAACAACAAGAGGACGGCGATTTAATAGCCCAAACCGCACTTAAGATATCCTAACTAGATCCAATTAAATACCAATTAATGTATTGCTATATATTATGCAAATCAATTAAATAATAAATATGCGAATCAATTGCTATATTTTAATTTCAAAGGATATGATAAATATTTCATCTGTTTATATATAACTGATAGCTTGGATACATTTCACTATATCACTATATATATCCTCGAGAGAACCGATTATCAACGATTTATCAGCATGAAAAAGCTCACAATTTATATTTTCACATCCTTAGAAATTGTCAGCTTTAGTTTGTCAAATATATCTAAATATTATCTGTACAGATGAAAATAACTCTTACTTTGAAAAACATTTAAATGGTTGCTATTATTACAAATAATTTATTTTGCCCACTTAATATTTAAGTGTTTGGATATTTATAGTTTCAGTCTAATATAGTATGTAGTATCTATCTATATGACAGTTGCTTCTATTGGCTATAGAGTAGTGCATATCCGCGAACAATAGCAACAACAATATCAACAGACTTTCAGCAGTAGAAGCATTTTTAATGTGTTTGCGCTTTAACCAAAAGTTGGCGTTGGGCCCATTTTTCTTGGGCTTGTTAGACGCGGACTGCTCTCAAGACACGAAATACTTTGGCAAAAGGTTCGCCAGGCAGCCAAGTGCAAGAGCAACTAGCCGAACAGACACAACAACGACAACAAGCTGCTGCTGCTGCTGCTGCGCTGCTGCTGCTGCTGTAGTTGTTGTTTATGATACGTCAGTTGTTGCAGTTGTTTGAAGAAGTTGTAAGAAATAGGCTTGCCGGCAACAAGACTGAATTGAAGACTGCGGGCAGTTGGTTGCTAACTTGGAGCAGCTAACCGCCAGACAAATGAGCAGGCACCGCACAGTGGTGCCAAAGTGAATAAGCAAGTAGCTGAACGCAGCGTTTTTCCGCCAGCAAATGATATTGCGGAGAGCGTGTTGCCCCCAAAAATGGGATGGCTAAAAATGCGCTGAAAAGTCGTATCATCTATTAACCGAAATGCATTGACTCCCTGGCCAGTTCTTCAGTGCTCACTGTTGCCACATGCAAATGCAGGAAGTTGCAGTTGCGCCGTTGAACCGAACCAGGCCCACTGAACCAAGCGCTTGATGAATTAGACACAGCCTCGTCGGCAATGGGCAATGGACAACGCGGACAACTGCATAGCTCATTTTTTAAAGCATGCAGCGAGTGAGAGACAATTCATTTATTAAACTGCACTTAACATCAACACCACATCATCATTAATATTATTGTACCCTGAGCTATGGGGGAAGACCGGCAACACGAACTCTAAACGGTTAAGCTGTTGAAATATTTCACATTTAGTCATGTCTTGGCCTGGCGCATTTTCACCACAATCAGTACAACAAAAACTATCGATAATAGCTCGAGTGCAACGTTAATTGCCGATAGTCTTAGAAATTTTACATAATAACGTTGTAACATCAGACCCAGAAGGAAAGCTTCAAAACCCAATTAGAGGCACTGTGGTGTCATTGGAGCAGCTGTTTGGCTTTTAAGCAATAACTTTGAAAACAATTTTATGTGGATCAAACTTGTTGCAACATGTGCAACAATGAAAGATTATTCAGGGTGTTCACCATGTATTCCAGCTGTCGCAAGCCACTGCCTCTCCCAATACTTAAACTATTTGAATACGTATTCGGTGGATTTACCTCAGTCACTTAGCATTTAGCGTTACAGAAAATAATTCTAATAGTTTCTTGGATTTGGATCGATGATTGGACATTGATTGCACGCAAATTATGCCTTTGATGCGCTCAAAAACTCAAAGACGTAAGAGCCAAAAAAAAAAAGCAAAAACGAAAACAAAAATCAAATCTAAAGCTAAATCTGAAGTCGAAGTCAAAGCCAAAGTCAAAGCCAAAGCCAAAGCCAAAGCTAAATCCAGAGCCAATTCCCGCGCGCCAAATGTCAAGAACTCATGTTCAAATGTCAAACTCAACCGACAAACCGTTAATTAGCAAATCAAAGATATGCCACGCCATAGTCAGAACTGAGACTGAGACTGAGACTGGAGACTACAGATAAAGTTGAAGCTGATGCTGAAGCTGATGCTGAAGCTGTGGCCACAACCACTGACAGCGCACAGAAATCCGACAGTTGCGCACATTCGAAAAAGATCAATGAGAATTGTGAAAGAAGCTGAAGAAATACAGCAGACGACGCGACGGCGAGCAATTAAAAGCCGCACAAGGGGACCGCGACGAGGTGTAAAGCTGATGCGGCCAAAACCAAAACGTTTAAAGCGCCCAAAGCACGTCAAGTTGTCATTGCGGATGGATGTGGACGCACTGGAGGATGGCGATGAGAATGGCAGCGTCAGGCCAAACATACATATATTCACCAGGAAGGAGATCTCCGCAGAGGCCACGATGCGTACATTTATGTATGTATGTGCACACATATCGTATCTTTTATATGTACATACATCACATCATATCATATATATGTACATACTCAGACTGCAGCTCAATTCAGTTGGTAGTCAATCATAAGCCGCCGAGTATAGTATATAGTACTATGAATATATCTGTCTGTGTGTGTGTGTGTGTGTGTGTGTGTGTATGTTGTATCTGTGTGTTAGTATCTTTTTCTAATTCTGCGCATTTCTGAGCGCTTCTAACGCGCAGGCGCAGCTGTCGGATTTGCATTACCGCGTCGAGTTGCCTTGAAATTATGTGAAATTGATCAATTTCAACGCTGTGTGATCCAAACTCTGGCTCAAGCTCTGGCTCTGGCTCCGTCTTTGGCTCCGAGTCTATCTCAGTATTAGTCTCTGGTTGTGGTGGTTGTGCTTGTATTTGTGGTTCTGGTTCTGACTATGGCTCTGGCCCGACGGCCACTCTCCCAGTCCTGGCGAGTTCATTTAATGTAAAATGTCAATCAAAAATTGCATATACACAAATGAATGGAAAAAACGTTGAGAATTTAATTAGAAATGTGGCGATTGTGGCGCTTTGTCTGGCTCAGTCTACCCAAATGTCTGGGAAACTGGAAAATGCTTAGCTCTAAGCAAAAAAAAAGGATTAGTCAATTGAAGCAATGAGAACTTCAACTGCCTTTTATGGATGGCCAAAGAAAAAAATTACTACGAAGATATTTATTTAATTTTCATTATTAATTACAGAATCTTATTTATAATATTATATTTACAGTACAAACTGAAGAGCGCAAGATTTAATTGTGATAAAAATCGGTTTGAAATTCTCCTTATAAATACTAAAAAAAGTACTACTGAATAGAGATGATCGTAAGTTAGTCAATGCATGGAAAGAAAAGCTGTAACTGAATCATGCATATATATTTTGTACGATGAGTATATTTATTATTATATTTATATTAAATTTAAATATTTAAAATTCGCATAAGTATCAAGCTAGAGAGCGATGAATAAAAGAGTTTTGCTTAAAAACAAGGCATTCGATTTGGATTTTAATTGATGAACTCACCTTGCGCTTTCGATTCAAAAAACAAATAGTAATAGCAGTTCCTCAAGTGGCAGCTGAAAGAGAAGAAAGAGGCAAGTTGCATGTAAAATATATATGTATGTTCCCATGTATGTTTGTATGGACAGAAAAAGTTTATTAAGACATAACTCAATTCCAAATGATTATAAATTTGTTGGCTTGTGTGTTTACACGAGTGTTATTAAAGTTTTAGCTCTATTCGCTGGAAAGTGTAAAATAAAGTAACAGCCGAACACCAAAACGCTCAAAAGCGGTGAGAAAATGCCCGGGCCATCAAATTATGGCGCTGTCCAGTAGAAGTTGTATTTCCAAGTTGTTGTTGCCGTTGTTGCTGTTATTGTTGTTAATTGTTGATGTTTTGCTTTTTATAGCACTTCCAATTTAGGGGGAACTGCAAGCAGCTCCAAATTAGAAATTCAAGTCCAGGCAGCGGCGGTCAACTTCAAACGAACCGATTGACAGCCACACAAAACAACGAGAACGCAGTTTTGTGTATTAATTTGTCAACCGATTTGACAATGCAAAAAATAAATAAATACAAATAAAACCAGAAAGAAAATGACAAGTTATCAGCGAGCTGACGAATTTGTTATACCCTCAGCCGAAAAATATATAATGCAACAAATAATGCAAAATGTCGCAGAAATCTCAAATGGTTAAGGACTACGTTGGCTGATGCAAAGAGATTTAATTTTTTTAAGTTTCTGATTTCCAAACAACAATAAACATATACATATATGCAAGCCCATAATAATCCATATTAAATAAAACGAATGCTTAGAAAAATAACTTATAATTACCAATAAGTCGAGTGTAACTTCTTCTCTATATGTTATTAGACCAACTTTGCCACTTCAATACTATTTTATTCGATTTTTGAAGACTTCATGACAAAGTTGCAATACTCAAATGCACATACATATGTACATACATACACTCATATATATACGTATCTATAACTTTTTATATTTTTTTATTATGCTTCATTTCTTTGAATTTCATAATTACACGGCTTTGACCGCTCAACGACTTTGTCTTCGTTTTTTCGGGGCCGTCTTTAGTTATTACCACTCATATGTGTACACAGGTAAATATCTACAACCCCCTCCACCCTCCACCCTCCTCCTCACCACACAAACACACGCACTGCATGCGCTGAGATAACTGTGTTTTTGTCGCCATTCTCAGTTTTTTCTTGAATGAAGTGGCAACAACTGGGCAGCTTGGCAACTGGTTGTTGAGTGCCTGTTGACTGGTTTTTTTTTTGTTTTTCTTTTTTTTTTTGGGCTTTTTAGCGCTTGGCTTAATTAATTACGAGTATTGTTGTATAATTTGTAGTTGTTCAGGCATAATTCAGCAGAAACTCATGAATGGCTCGCTTTACACATTTCCGGTACAGTTGCGCTCAAAAGTCTCAGCCAATGGGCCGCGGCCCGCCCAGTCAACTACTAAAAGCAAAAAAAAACACTGAAAAAAATAAGAAAAAAATAAAAGGGCGTTGTGGGCAATGTCAATCAATTGGTTGGCTGCTTCGGCCGGCTTTGCTTGGCTGGTTGGTTACTTTTAGCACTGGCAGTGCTGTGGCCCAAGCAAAAATGGCAGCTGACTGACAGACAGATCGAAAATGCTGCCACAGCAGCAGCAGCCAGCAACAACAACAACAAGAGCACAACTGAAAGGCTGGTCGAGACTTGCAACTTGACAGGCGGTGGCATGGCACGGCCACGACTTGCAGCCAGCCAGCCAGCCAGCCAGCCAGGCAAGCAAGCAAGCAGGCAGGCAGGCAACAGTGAGCCAAGCCAGCCAAATCGATCGAACTGCCTTCATTAAACAGCGCACTAGCCCTGTCTCGCTCGCGCAATGGTCACAAGCGCGCCCTCTCGCTCTGCCCCAGTGTCTGTGGTCTCTGTCTGGCGCAAGCGCCAAGCGACTTTAATAACTCCTTTCCTGCCGCCGATTTGCAGCCGCTACAAAGTTTCGAATCGAGATCACGGCTGCTGCTTCTGATGCTTCTGCTGCTGCTGCTGCTGCTGCTGCTGCTTCGATCAGGCAGCAACTGAATGGACGAGCTCCACTAATTTCCATGTTGGCCACAATTTGACTTCTGTTCGTTGCGACTTCACTACGCTGCTGCCGTTGTTGTTGTTGTTATGGATGTGGTTGCTGTTGTTGTTGGCCACATTTTGCAAATTTGCGCGCCGTGATTGCAGCCTGAATCTCAGCTCAGCTCTGAGCCACAGCTCCGACTGGCACGCAATTTGCGCTAAAAACAAAAACAAAACAAAACAAAAAAAAGACGAGAAGAGCAAAAAAGAGAAGCAAAAAAGAAAAAGAAAAAAGAGCAGAATCGACCAAGACACATCTGCAACAAATTGGAAGCCAATAATCAAATGTCAGTCAGTGAGTTCTGCTCGCAGTGTGTCAGCTCGCCTGACAGTCATTCAGCGTATTCGCGATGCGGCCACGTAGTTAATCAGTTTTACCCCCAGTGCCTCATTATTCAAAGCCTCCACTCCGCCCCTTCTCTTCGTTTTTATTCTCCCTGCCACCCCATCAGCCGTCTGTCTTCCACTGTTTTATTTTTCTGGCTTTGCTGCGGTAAATATATACATACATATATAAATACATTTTTGTGTTGTTGTTGTTGTTGAATTCTTATGGCTTGTCCGATCTGCATGTCTATTCATTTAAAGTTTTCGATTTTGATTTCATTTCATTTTGGCATTTGGCGTTTTGCCTTCACGCTTTACTGACTCTTGACGGCTTCTGAAGAGAGGGACCGGGATTGGGTAGATATGAGTGAAATTAGCTTAACTTGGCTTCAGCTCTTAATTGCACCTAATGTCGATCGCTTCAGGATTCTTGGTATTGAAACAATTAACGATTCCATGAGAATTGTATAATATCCTTTAAATGGATAGATGAGCTCGCATTGTCGAAATTCTTAATATATTTTAAATATGCAGAAAAAAAGTTTAAAAAAAATTACTTCATAAGAAAATTTCTTGTTTCTTTGAAGCAAATATACATGTATATGAAATTTTTGGTATTATAAATAGTTATTTCTAAATATATATGGTAAGCAGAGTGAACTAACTTACAGTCTGAATCTATTTGTCAAAATCTACAATGTTATAAATACTATTATTATTACATCACAATTATCAATTATTCAATGAACGTCAGATTTTGTGTTAATTCTTGTATTATTAACAACAAAAATGGAAAGCCATCGATGGTTTTTTAACACTACTTCCGCGTTAAATTATTCCCATGCATTATTACTCGAGCTATTATTATAGATTCTCATCAGCTTCAGCGTTAGAATTGGCTACTATGAGCTCCTGACATTGTCATTATCTTGCTGATCAATACATGGCTCAAGTGTTATTTTTTTTGTTCGTGATTGGCGTTGGCAGCATTTTTGATTGGTTCCACATTACACGCGCTTTTCGAATAATTAACAATAAAAAATTTCAAACACATTTTGACACAATTTTAATGGTCAATAAAAGTTGGTGGGGAGCGTTAAATGAACAGGAGCACCGTCAAAAGTGCCCCAAAACAACAGCAACAACAACAACAACAGCAACAACACCGACAACAATGAACAAAAAATGTTGTTGTTATTGTCGCTGTTAATGTGGCCATTGTTCGAGTTTTTTGTGGCTTGTCATTTCGATTGCCGTTGTTGCTGCTGCCATTGTTATTATTGTTGTTGACAAATCGATAAACAGCTCAATTAGCATTTTTGATCTTAAAACGTTCCAAGTGCTGTGCCGCCAAGCCCAGCAAAAGTAAGCCCTACCCTTGCCCCCCTCACTTTGGCCCCTTGACGAGCGCACACACAAGCACACACAATCGGTTGACTGGCGGGTGTCAGACGGGATGGAAACGGGGCTCATTGTAAATGGTAATCATAAATCAAAGCATAAAAAATTCAGTTCAATAATAAATTTGTATGCTCGGCCCGTAACGTCGCACAATTATGCAAAATGAGCAGTCAAACTTGGCAATTGACAGTTACAAGTTCGAAATATGGAAATATAAAAATGTTTTCAGCTTGGCTTCGACTGTAATTGTGACCCCCAACACTTGTTGCAAATGCGATAAGCAACTTAATAATAGAATATCAAGTAGGAAAAGTCACACGGTTCTCTCACATTGACACTGAGACACGGCTTATATCCATATATAATGCGGAAATATTGCGACAGAATAAAAAACACACATTTCTGCAACAGAATAAATTATAACCGAATTCAGCAAATAAATTATGTATTTATATAAAAATATTTTGTAACTTTACAATGAATACATCTTTAATAATAGTCTAGTGTAATGCTAATGTTAATGAACACTTCGAGTACAAGTGAAGGAGTATATGAAATTAAATACTGACTCCGTTCTACTTGTAATTGATCGGCTTACTCAAGTGAACAGGGATGTTTGGAATTAATAATATACGCCACGGCAATCCTGCCAAACTGACATCTTTATCCATATCAAATGTTGTGTATGAAAAGAAAAAATGGAAAGAGACTAATATTTGTGCATGGGGTATAGGGTATATTGAAGTGTGGTTGGATGGAATGAATGAAGGAGGGAAATGCAAAAGAGTCAAAGAGTTATTTCAATAATTCAATCACGTGTTATCGAATAATTGAATAAGTCATCGTGTCGAGCGACACAAATTTAATTTCAATACGCAGAACATTTAACGTTTAACGAACGTCCAACAGCGTCAAAGACATTGCCGATTGAGGCAGGAGGCATTAACCGAGCTGGGCAGCAGAGAGTGGCTGGGGAGGGGGGAGGGCGCTGCGATGTAGACGGAACCACTGTGGCAGCCAGGCAGGCAACGTGAGTGATTGTCGCAAAAGCTCAAAGGCAACGACTACAACTCTTCGAATTGTACTGATTTTTATTTATTTTATGTTTGAACTGAAACGCTTATGGAATTTCAAATGATGTGCGACTGCGCCCCGGACTAATGGGGAGACCCCGCATTATCAAAGCCCCAGATATAGCCCAG